GTCTCTCTGATTGGTTGATGCTGGAAATATGTCACTACGTCACACAGTGGAGCCTCTGATTGGTTGATGCTGGAAATATGTCACTACGTCACACAGTGGAGTCTCTCTGATTGGTTGATGCTGGAAATATGTCACTACGTCACACAGTGGAGTCTCTCTGATTGGTTGATGATGGAAATATGTCTCTACGTCACACATGGAGTCTCTGATTGGTTGATGCTGGAAATATGTCTCTACGTCACACAGTGGAGTCTCTCTGATTGGTTGATGATGGAAATATGTCTCTACGTCACACATGGAGTCTCTGATTGGTTGATGCTGGAAATATGTCTCTACGTCACACAGTGGAGTCTCTGATTGGTTGATGATGGAAATATGTCTCTACGTCACACAGTGGAGTCTCTCTGATTGGTTGATGATGGAAATATGTCTCTACGTCACACAGTGGAGTCTCTCTGATTGGTTGACGCGGCGCGTCGAGCTGCAGAAGTTCAGATTTTCTAACTTCAGTGATTTGTGCCTCAGTGCATCAAACGCTCAGATCGTTCAAATCGTTCAAATCACGCTGCTCTAATCGAGCTTGAGGAGCCGCAGCACTTCCTGACGCTGTTTGAAGTGCGTCCACCATAGACTTTGTATGTAAACCTGAGGCTCCTGATGCTGACATCGTGTTCGGTGTGAACGCAGCATTAGACTAAAAATGCATTGGTGAAGAACCTTTCACCTTTCCTCTCCCTCTACTTCAGCCTGTGGCCTGACTCGTCTCTAGTTTGGTTTAACTCCCAAGAGCAGCAGCAGCACAGCAGCCAGCCAGGCAAGAACCGCTGGTGTTGGTTTTTCAAAATAAAGACAATTTTAACATTTCATGATATTTAAATACAAACAATGATCATAGTTAATGTAAGTGCACAAATATAGGATATAAAGATATATGATATGCTTTACACAGACTCTTTTATAAAATAAATAAAAAACTATTCTGAAGTTGTGGCGGTTTTATTTTGTCGGGGCGATATGCCACGATCAATCACATGTAGGGGAAACCCTGGGCTCATTACTGGTCTGTTCTTTCTCTCTGACACAATGGCAGCATGGAGGACAAGACAAACAGGACCTACAGTTCTCAGTGATGACGACCTCACACATCTCCTTCAGCCGAGTGATGAGCAACTGGTCTGCTACAACCAGCACGTTGCAGACAAACTCCACATTCAGAGAATCTGTCAAATTATAAAGGAAAACTTATAAAGTTACAAATTCACATTTGTTGACAGTCTTTGTAAACTTTATACCCAACAGAGGACCATTAAAACAAGCTAACTCAAAATGCTAACTGAGCACACATAAAACTCCACATTTTACCTTTAATGGTGGGAGACTCATCAGTGTAAATGTAGTCCAGGATGACCTGCAGCACCTCAGAGCTTGTAGGCATCTCTAAAGCAGAACAAGACGTTGCCTGTAGGGTGTGTGAGAACACCATTGTGTCATAGTGAGGACAGGGCACAATGGTGACCAATAAAAAACAAATATATTTAAGAAAATATTGGGTCTACCTCAATCCAGGGGCTCCCAAGCATACTGTTGAAGTATTCTAAAGAGAAGACAAAGTGCATTAATGTCAATATTTTGATGACAGTTTCCTCTAAAGTTTTAAAGATAAAATCAGCATTGACCTGAATTTAAAAAAAGTCAAGGAAGCAGAAATGGAACCAACCAAGTCATAAAGACCAGAGTGTTTCCATTCAAGTCTTAAGACAAGTCCAAAGTCAAGATGTGTCATTGCTGAATCCCAAGTTGGAAAATTCTAATTTTGAGTTCTAAACAAGTAATTAGAATTGAAATTTTGTTAAAAGTTAAGAAATTATGAACGATTCCTATTAAAAATGTATATTATTGTCAGAATAAGCAGCCAGTGCAACTGTATTTGAACAGAAGTGTGAATGTTTCAGTGATCAACAGATTTAGTACAGAATGATTTGTTTTATCTGTATTTATACTGTACCAGACCTCTCTTATATTAAAACAACGACTTTAATATAAAATACATTCTCTAGAAGACTATTATTACAGTACTTCAAAGTGACACTGTAGGTACTGTAGCTGCACGTTTAATGTCTAAATTAAACTAAAATATCTGCAGCAGGTTCATTTTTACAGGCATCCACTTCACTAATTTGTTGTAGATGTTTCATAAACTCCACCATGGATTTAAATAATCTCATAAAGGTGGACAGATGGACGGACAGAGAGTATTTCTATGTCCCCTGTCTCTGTGACCAGAGTCAATCAGGTTTTACTGTAAACTAGCTTAAAGACTGTGTAAAGTAAATTTTAATATTTTCTTCATTAAACATCATAAATGTCACACTTGCATTGTTGTAAATGAGTAAAAAGTCTCACAACTGTAGATACTTTAATTTTGAAGGTATAGATCAATTTGTGTTTAAAGATTTGTTTGTTTCAGGGTTTTTTGGACGTGCTTTAAAAGGCGGCTGTGTTTCGTCACGCCGCCGCCTTAAACATGACCCCGGCTTAGCCCCGCCCCCTACTGCTCCAGCAGTATAAAAACGTTCTTCGCCTCAGCCGTTGCTGTTCACTTGCTAAAATAGCATAGATATTTTGTTGTTGTTAGCTAGCTAAACAATTCCCATTTTAGTCCAGATAGTTTTATTGACTGCCTGCAGACACAGTTGGGATTTATGGACAGTTGTTTGGTTCATGAGGCTCTACCTCCCTCCTCCCTCCTGGACTCTCCTCCTGACATCATCGCCTCTCCTGCACCTGACGGGGGGATAATGCCTCACCCAGTAAACACAGCAAGTTGCTGTTTGTGCTTCTATGGTAAATATCCTAAGTGTTGGCAGTTTAGTGCATGATTTGGGTTCAGGGGATCCTCTGACTCGTGTGTGTTAGACTCCTTGGTCTGTGTTTTAATACGGGTCATGTGGGTAGCAGGGGACCGCAGGGAGAGAGGGTGCAGCGAGGCACTGAGTCCACGGCCCCGGGAAGAGGTGAGGTCGGAGCACAGAGGGCTGTAAAACTCCTTCACCCCCGAGACCTTCCTTGCCCACCCAGAGCTGGTCGCAGCGCACCGCCTGGAGGAAATGTGCCTGATGAATGAGTAGAGCTGGAGAACTGCAGTAGGCTGCCAGACTTCAGGAACATCTCCTCCTCAGGAGCATCTCCTCCTCAGGAACATCTCCTCCTCAGGAGCATCTCCTCCTCAGGAGCATCTCCTCCTTCAGGAACATCTCCTCCTCAGGAGCATCTCCTCCTCAGGAGCATCTCCTCCTTCAGGAACATCTCCTCCTCAGGAACATCTCCTCCTTCAGGAACATCTCCTCCTTCAGGAACATCTCCTCCTCAGGAACATCTCCTCCTCAGGAACATCTCCTCCTCAGGAACATCTCCTCCTTCAGGAGCATCTCCTCCTTCAGGAACATCTCCTCCTCAGTACAGGACACGGACACAGTGATGCTCAGAGTGTGGGCGTGGTTTCAGCGCCTCCAGCTGACACGCCCCCAGCATTTTCACAACAGAGCCACTGATGTTTTTTCATTATTTTTGAGACTTAATTTTATAAAGTAAACAATGTTTTTATTCAGTCAGATTTAGATGGGTGATTGATAACACATATTTCTGTCGTGTGACAAACTCAAAACACAGATTTAATTTTACTTTACACGGTCTTTAAAGCTAACACAGTTATAGTTAGTTGATTCAATACATTAGTGACCAACTTTTAAAAAAGAAAAAACTTTGTTAAGATAGACTTGAGTCTCCTGATGCATCTCAGTAATCCAGGTAAAAAATCAAAAAGAAAAAAATTGTGTTTTTTAATAAGTGTTAATTAGGTGTRAACGATAGCCATGTGATGTGAGTATCAGTCACATGGAGGCAGGGCTTAAAAGCCTGAATTTAGCCTGAAACTCTCAGACTGAAGAAGTCTCTTGGAGGAGAGACGAAACGTTTCATTAGAGAAGAACCCGTCCAGAAGACCTATACTATTTTTTTCTTTTTGATAGACTTGAGTCTTTTGATATAAAAATGCTTTCTAAGTGATGTCATGAGTCTCTACAGTCACCGATAGGTCCAAACGCACAGCAAATGGCACAACACACACATGAAGGATGCAAACTCCAAAATAATACAAACATAAAAAATTAATGCAAAGATAGAAACAAAAAACATACAACAAAAAAAGGCTTAAAAATGAAAAACGCTGTAAATACTAAAAGATGCAAGAAAACAGTGCAAACTCACTCCACAAAGTGGAAGTGCATCAGACCACTAGAGGGTCTCGACCAGACCCTCAGTAAAGACAGCATCCCATTAATGTCTTTACAGCAGGTCTGGTCCCATATGACCTGGTGTTCGAGTGTTTTGGAGTTTACATGATTCATGTGGTTACAGCAAGTTCAGCTGTTTGTTCAGCTGCATTTGCACCTGTAGGTCACTGTTCTAAAGTCATCAAAATTATAGAGTCTAACAACAGAAACAGTTTGTGATGAGAATGATAAAGATCCACGTTCTGTGTGTGTTTTTCTGTTCTTACCTAGTCTTGCACAGAGGACACTCTTGTGACAAGGAAACTCTTTTCCATCTTCAGATTTCAGAGTCACATCACAGAGGTAGGAACTGTGCACAGACAAACACGATAAAACTAATTAAACTAGACTTTTTTCATCAGCAATTTATTTAGAGTTAGAAATGTAACAAGTCACCATTTTTTCTGGAAAAATTTGGGTTTGTTGCCAGTTTTCTTCTGTGTCACAATAATCTTTCCATTTTCATACTTGACACCATCCAGTCTGAAAGAGAAAAACAAAAACCAGTTAAGAGCTTCAATGATTTGGTGCTGGTTTGTTGTCACACAGCCTCCCACCGTGCTGACAGGCTGCCCAGGCCAAGCTTCTTCGCAACAGCCTGTAAGGTCTTCACAGGGTTCACTCCTCCTTCAGTGGCTCTTCCCTTGTCACCTTTGCCTCCCTTCCCTTTTCTGCCAGGCTTGGAGCTCCTGCTCTTAGCCTTGTCACTGTCACCTTTGGCTGAGGGTGAGAGGGAACGGTACACCTCTAGAGCGGAGCGACCACTCAGACCCAAGTCCTGCAGACTGCTGATAAGCCTCTCCTGCTCTGAACCCTGGCCAAGACAGGAGGGACAGAGAAACCAGTCATTCACAGAGAACAATAACTTCATGGGTCAATGCAAACAAAACCAAAGAAAACTATGATCAAACTTTGGCTTCTGTGAGTTTATTTAAAAAAAATGAGTAGCCTAAAACGAAAGAAAGTTTCTGACAGAATAAAAGAAAAAATAAGAACTTTTTATTTCTCCTCACCTGGTTTTGTCCTGTCGATGCACCTGAGACCCTGGGTCGTACCCCGTGCACCAGCAGCTCACAGGAGTCTGTGTAGATGAAGTGCAGGGCGTGCTCCAGAACGTCTGCTGGGATTTTGTCAAATATGAGTAAATCACAACCAACGGCGTCTTCACTCCTCCTCACTTCCACCTCGTTGACCCCGCAGCGCTCGGACAGAAATTGTTTCCGGAAAAACTCAGACCTCATGGACAGGATGTACTTGTGCGCGGGGAAGTTGCGTTCACCAGCCTGAAGCGTGACGTCATGGATGTTATCCATTTCATCTGCGTCTTCCAGAAGGCTCCGGAAGTGCTGGGAAAAGGAGGATGAAGAGATGTTGGGAACCTCATACAGACTGGAAAACAGAAGGAGAGAAAACTAAAATTACAAAAGGACTCGAACCAAACGTTCCACTTCTAAAGATGATTTTGTCTTGAGCCGTAAAACCTATAAATACTTAAACAAAAGTAACATTTAGGAACTAAGTAATATTAAAGTAATTCAGACTGGTTTTTGTGGTTTTGTAATAATGTAAGTGACAACAATAACTTTACATGTTACTGAGAATTTCTTCAATTTAAAAATGATTCCATAAATAGAGTTGGAGCTGATCTGACTGTAAACTTATATCAGAACAACTGAGTCATGGAACGACTGAGTCTGCATTTCACTTTCTTTGGGTAATTTCTCATTAAATGTAGCCAACTTTGGAGTCTCATTTTTCCTTCTTTGATGCGACTGTCTCTCTGTTCCACCATTATCATCGCTCTTTGATTTGCCCGCGGCTTCTTCTGTGGTTTGCAGAGCACCATGCCGCGTTCTTCTTCTTTTGTAAACATTGCAGCCCTAACCTAACCTGAACCAATAAAAAAAACTAATAAAAATACCCGTTTACCAGAAGCTGAACATGCTGTTAAACCTTTAGTGAGAAAGGAGCAATCATTTTTGAAAAGGTGCCCAAACTGAGCTATGACATCACTTAAACTGTGTGACTGACTCCAGCAGCTTTTGTGGTTTAAGACAAACATCATACCTGGTTTTGGGGTCGGACTGAAGCACACCAAAATTGCGTCCTTTGGAGTCCATTGTGATGCTGACAGCTCTGTGAACAAAGGGAAGCCTCTCAAGACGGATGCGTTCATACAGCGTGCCAGCATCAGAATGACCACACACCTCCACGCTGACCTCTGTAACAAGTAAACAAAAACCTCTGGTGAACTAAGAAAGAAGATTAAGTAATTAACATTTTCCAATTTTAAAAAAAGAAAATGTTGAATGTGGAATATTTTATTTTAAAACAGTTTTACATAATACAATAATTATCAAAACAATGAGCATCCCTAACCCAAGGGGGAAAATAAATAAAAATAAAATAAAAAATGTAAAATTAAAATCGCTTTCCAAAAACCATTTTAAACATATTTTTATAGATTCTCTTAATTCTTATTAATGCTAGTGTTTAATTTGAATCAACATGTGTCCTATGTCAAACTAATTAATGCTGCAGGCTTCAAATGTAGTGTTTACACATAGAAATGAGCCAAAAACAGCTGTAACTCATCAAACCAGAAGAAAATAAATAAATACAGACGAGGATTGATCAAATCACCTGATAAATACACTCACCGGCCACTTTATTAGGTACACCTGTCCATCTGCTCATTAACGCAAACATTGAATCAGTCAATCACATGACAGCAGCTCAATACATGTAGACATGTAGACATGTAGACATGTAAGTTTACAACGGCATGTAGCCGAAATGCATCCTGATCTATGTCCTTATTAAAAACATGGTATTTTATGGAGTACTGGTTATCCCATTTTAAAGGCATGTAGACAAGGCCAAGATGATCTGCTGCAGGTCAAACCAGCATCAGAATGAGGAAGAAAGGTGATTTAAGTGACTTTGAACGTGGCATGGTTGTTGGTGCTAGATGAGCTGGTCTGAGTATTTCAGAAACTGCTGATCTACTGGGATTTTCATCCACAACCATCTCTAGGGTTTACAGAGAATGGTCCGAAAAAGAGAAAAAAAAAGAGCTGCAGTTCTGTGGGAGCAAATGTCTCGTTGATGCCAGAGGTCAGAGGAGAATGGTCAGACTAGTTGGAGCTGAACAGTAAATCAAATAACCACTGGTCACAACCGAGGTCTGCAGAAAAGCATCTCTGAACACACAACGCATCTCTGAACACACAACACATCTCTGAACACACAACACATCTCTGAACACACAACACATCTCTGAACACACAACGCATCTCTGAACACACAACACATCTCTGAACACACAACACATCTCTGAACACACAACACATCAAACCTTGAGGAGAATGGGCTACAGCAGCAGAAGACCACACCAGGTGCCACTCCTGTCAGCTAAGAACAGGAAACTGAGGCTACAATTTGCACAGACTCACCAAAACTGGACAAGAGAAGATTGAAAAACGTTACCTGGTCTGATGAGTCTGGATTTCTGCTGCAACATTCAGATGGTAGGGTCAGAATCTGGTGTCAACAACATGAAAACATGGATCCATCCTGCCTTGTATCAACGGTTCAGGCTGGTGGTGGTGGTGCAGTGGTGTGGAGGATATTTTCCTGACACACTTTGGGTTCATTAGTACCAACTGAGCATCGTGTGTACACCACAGCCTACCTGAATATTGTTGCTGACCATGTCCATCTCTTTATGGCCACAGTGTACCATCTTCTGATTGTGTCCATCCCTTTAAGACCACAGTGTACCATCTTCTGACCATGTCCATCTCTTTATGACCACAGTGTACCATCTTCTGACCATATCCACCCCTTTATGACCACAATGTACCATCTTCTGACCATGTCCATCTCTTTATGACCACAGTGTACCATCTTCTGACCATGTCCATCCCTTTATGACCACAGTGTACCATCTTCTGACCATGTCCATCCCTTTATGACCATAATGTACCATATTCTGACCATGTCATCCCTTTATGACCACAATGTACCATCTTCTGACCATGTCCATCTCTTTATGACCACAGTGTACCATCTTCTGACCATGTCCATCCCTTTATGACCACAGCGTACCATCTTCAAACCATGTCCATCCCTTTATGACCACAGCGTACTATCTTCTGATCATGTCCATCCCTTTATGACAACAGTGTACCATCTTCTGACCATATCCATCCCTTTATGACCACAATGTACCATCTTATGACCATGTTCATCTCTTTATGACCACAATGTACCATCTTCTGACCATGTTCATCTCTTTATGACCACAGTGTACCATCTTCTGACCATGTTCATCTCTTTATGACCACAGTGTACCATCTTCTGATGGATACTTCCAGCAGGATAACGCTCCAGTTCATAAAGCATGAATCATCTCAGACTAGTTTAATGAAGACAACAATGAGTTCACTGTACTGGAATGGCTCCAGAGTCAACAGATCTCAGTCCAGTAGACCTTTGGGATGTGGTGGAACAGGAGATTCTCATCATGGATGTGCAGCTGACAAATCTGCATCAACTGTGTGATGCTACCATGTCAATATGGACCAGACTCTCTGAGGAATGCTTCCTGTACGTTGTTGAATCTATGCCACCAAGGATTAAGGCCGTTCTAAAAGGCAAAAAGGGGTCCAACCTGGTACTAGCTAGGTGTACCTGATGAAGTGGCGGGTGAGTGTATACTACCATATGTTTCTACAAGTGAGTGTGGGATTATTGAGTGTTCATCATCACATGGTACTCCTCACCTTTCTTCTCTCCGTACTTCTTATATTCTCCAGCCCATACACCACTAAAGCCTTCCCCATCAGGAGTCACGAACATCATGCCGTTCTTGCTGAGAGACATGTCCGACATGAAAACCTGGCGCTGATATGCCCACCTGCACTGTCTCACCGAGCTGCCAGAGGAGCGCCAGCAAAATACCTGACAGAGAAAAACAGTTACACAAGCCTTTCTCTCACTGTCATCTATATAATACTGTACAGGATAAGACTGTTTATAGAAAGCACCGCTATCAGTTCATAAACATTTGTTGGATAATGACAGGGAAAGTGAGGTAATGGAAAAATAAGATGCATTTTTGACAGCATTTAAAAACTGAGGCAGAAATCAACAAACAGCAGCTTTTGAATTTCATTAAATCTACTTCAGATTATTGTACTTTAAACAAAAACACATAACTTACCCTTCCTGCTTCATCTAATGCCAACACAGCCACCTTTTCCCCTCCACCTTCGTTTAACAGCTGAGGATCTACTCGATGGTCCAGACTGCCCCCGCTGACCAGGACCTTCTTGATGTTGAGCTGCCTGAAAGAAAACAATTAAAATCTATATTTAATGTCTAAATATAAAATCTAATACATCTGTACTGAGGTTTAGTTGGTTTATTCACCTTGAAGCCATTTTCTTACACTGGTATTCGGTCAACAGATAAACATCCCCCTTTTCAGTTACAACCACGGTTGCTCCATCACTGGCTGCAGCCATGGCTATGGTAACATCCTTGTGGTGCAGTGCAGACACCTGACGGGGGGATGTCACACACTTTTCTCCATTTGGATCCAGCAAGTACCCTTAAAAAAGCAAAAATGTAATAGGCTGAACACTAAAAAGAACATTCTTGTGATTCTGGTGTTTGATTAGACCTCTTGTAGATAGTCCTTTGAATAATCTCAGTTTGTAGAAATAAGAGTCAAATTCTGGTCAGACTGATGAGCTAATGGCTGGTTAGAGACCAGAACCAGAAGTAAACATATTGTTTTCATTAAGCTTTTAGTGCATTTGTTTTTAGACTACCTGAGCCAACAGTGAAACTGTACATTGATGTATTAAAAATTTAGTTTGACTACTTTCACTTTCAGTTCTATAATTCATTTTCAGTTTGTTGTGTCACCCATCCTGGTCCTTGAGAAAGCCAAAGTAATCAAACACAGATCAACAGATTTATGTTTCACATTGGTGAAACTTCCCCTCTGTATGTAACAGGGTGGATGCAATGCAACGTAAAAGTGACAAAAACAGAGAAAGTTACTTTTTTTACAGTGATTAATTTTACCCATAGAAAAGGTCACATTTACATGACATTATAGATCAGTTGTAGCAGTGTTGCACCAACTCGATTCATTTAGAGTCTGGATGGGATGAATATTTGCCTGCAGCTGGGAGCGACGCTGTGTGAGGACTGAGCTGCCTGTTGGTGCTTTGGGACGGAGGAGCTCACAGCAGAACCTGCTGCTTCAGGCTGAGTTGTCCGAGGAAAAATCTCACGTGACCTCCAGAGAGACGTGAGTTCAGAGTTAATAAACATTTGAGACGAGGAAGAAACAATGTTGATGGTTTGTGTACTATTTTTACCAGAGGAAAAACAATTCCAGGACTTTTAACATCCAGCAGACTTTCTGCTGAGTCGTGAGATTTTTCTGTCTTCTGTATTTTGGAATCCCCTCTGTGTTTACGTCACCTCTCTTTCTGATTGGCTACACGTCTCATTCAACAGGCTGAGAGCTCAGGTGAACACTAAACACTGTGATATCAGGCCAAAACATCAAACATGTTGAATATCCCCGATTTGAGGTAGGAGCGGTCCCGATGTCCTTCTGAGCCGACTAGATCACTCTTAACTCACCACCCATGGCAGGAAAATCTGCTCAGATTATCTTTAGAGCCATCACCATAATCTGGACTTCCTTCAGATTGTCAGAAGGCCAAAAATCGGCCTGATTATCTTGTAGTTTGACGCTGACCTTAGAGAGCTGTGTTCATGTCAGAGTTCCACAACCCACCAGCCGAGTGTTGATTCAGCCATTGCAACGGTCAAACTATCAAACATTAAGGGATTTGTGGAATTATTTCTCACACATATGATAGTTATTATACATCTGACACTGTTGATTACTGCTTCTATTAGACTGAACGCCTACAGTACAGAAAGGAAGTTTCAATGATGTGACGTGAATTTTGGAACTGAAATTTATTTATAGAACTTTAGTTTCTGTTGGCACAATTTTCTTCCCATGGGGATATCTATAACAGGTAAGATATTAATTCCTCCTAACTTTTTCAGAGTAACCCTACTTCCAAATGTCTGGAATATACAAAAAGAAGCTTTTTCCTTAGTCCAACTGAACGACACTGTCCAGTCACATTATGAACCTGGAAAGCAGGACAGCCTTCTGAGTGTTTATTTGTCTCCTAACTGAAGAGCTGAGACTTACCCAGCTGCCCTCCATTCAGCCCCACTGTGTACACAGCCTCTCTGGTCCACAGGACTGTGTGGAACCTCCCTGCTGCAACTCCCATCACTGCCCGTCCTTTCAGCATTTTCGAAAATACCTATTTAAAAAAATGTGAAAAGCTGAGTGTAAAAAAAAAACTAAATTAAACTCTTTATGACTGTTGATAGTTTAATATTCAATAAAGTTTAATACAGTTTAATATTGAGTTAGTAAGTATAAAAACCAAGTTTCCAACCTGTTTCGGAGCATGTGCTGAGGCAGGAGGAGGAACTAGGCCCAGCTGGTGGAAGGTGTTCAGACCAAACGTATAAACATAGCCTTCCTCCGTCAGAACCACTGTGTGGTCTTTAGCTGCAGCCACCTGAGAGCAGTGGTGGGACATCAGACCCTCCACCATACGAGGAACCTAAAAGAGAACAATGACAAGAACAATTTGACTAAATATGTGAGGAACTGCTGCAGGGATTTTAATCAAACGTTCTGGAAATACAGTGGGGAAAAGTATTTAGTCAGCCGCCAATTGATTAAGTTGTCCCACTTAAAAAGATGAGAGAGGCCTGTAAGTGACATCATCGAGAGGCCTGTAAGTGACATCATAGTTAGACGTCCTGATGCAGCTCAGTAATCCAGGTAGAAAAATCAAGAAGAAAAAATACGTAGGTCCTCTGGACAGGTTCTTCCTTAATGAAATGCTTTGTCTTCAGTCTAAAGAATCCAAGCAGATCTCCCCTAAAGCAGTGAAAATGGACTTTCAACTCCCTCCAAAGGTTTTCGATGGGGTTGAGATCTGGAGAAGGGCTGGGCCACTCAAGGATCTTGAAATGCTTATGAAGCCAGTCCTTTGTTGCCCTGGTGGTGTGGTTGGGATCATTGTGCTGAAAGACCCAGCCATGTTTCTTCTTCAATGATTGCTGATGGAAGGAGGTTTGCACTCAGAATGTCACCATACATGGTCTCATTCTTTCTTTCATGTACATGGATCAGTCGTCCTGGTCCCTTTGCAGAGAAACAGCCCCAAAGCATGATGTTGCCACCCCCATGCTTCACAGAAGGTATGGTGTTCTTCTGATGCAACTCACCATTCACTCTCCTCCAAACATGACGATTTGTGTTCTACTTTGGTTTCATATATATGTCAACATCTAAACTAACTACAAAAGTTAGCCCAGTGAGCTGAAGCAAAGTGTTGATAAAACCTCCCTGCATTAATTACAACCTCTTTGAATTAAAGACTAATTCAAACAACAAACCTAAAGAGTCCAAACAGTACTATGGCTTTCCTAATCATGTGTTCCTTATGATAACTTGAACAGTTCCTGAAAATCCTTTCATAACAGACAAATAAATCAACACTACCAAAAACAAAACCTTCTTGGTGGGAAAACATTTTAATTTTTACATTTATTGTGCAGCCTATAAATTTAAAAATGAACAAATCTCACCAGATAAGTCTGTTCATCTCCATGACCAAGTCTTCCTCCTTGTCCATGTCCACAGGTGAAAACCTGGCCTTTCTGGGACAGGAACACTGAGTGGAACTTACACAGAACCACCTAATAAAGTAAAAAACATTGGATTAAATGGTAAATCAATGGTGATCGATCAAAGTGCTTTACACTACAGATAAAGTGTATCCATTCATACACACTTTCACACTGATGGTGGTAAGCTACATAGTAGCCTCAGCTGACCTGGGGCAAAGGTGATGAAACCCACATTGTCCATTTTATTTTTTAATACACTACAGCCTATTAAAGAGACATTGTGAGAGACGAGGTTATACTGTTCACCTGTTGTCATCACTGTGACCTCATGGTACAGGCTGTGACACGTGTGTGTGTGTGTGTGTGTGTGTGTGTGTGTGTGTGTGTGTGTGTGTGTGTGTGTGTGTGTGTGTGTGTG